TCCACTTGGTCCCTTGTCTCGAGTCTTTATTTCTAAATACCACCACATCTTGCTCTCCCTGCATTCACATTAGTTGCCTGCCTCTGACTTCTCTGAGCCATGGTACTTGCTACCACCAGAATTCTCTAACAAATCTGGGTACTTGATCCCTTTCTGGAAAATTCTGAGTGGTTCTTAATGCCTGAAAAGCCTATGCAATCAAATTCAAGTTGCTTACACTAGCATTCAGTGCCCCCCGCCACTGTGTGCCCTGCTCACTGGCATCTGCCAAAAATAGAACACTTTCCACAGCCACAGGTAGTCTGTCAGGTTTTGATGTTTTCTCCTGTCTCTCTGGCCCCTGCAGTTAGCTCCTCCCCTCATCTCTTCAATGAGTGGAAAATGCTGCTTTACCTGCGTCACTGAGCATCACAGGGCTATGGTGATCGTAGGTGGTGAAAGGATAAATGACTTAAGAACCAAAAGAACATATGAGTATTACCATTAAAAAGAATGTAAAGCAAGAGAATATACAAGGGAGAAAGCGATATTCAAAAATGCACAGTGCTGGACTACTACAGTGTTTACAAGTCACACATACTTTCAATACATTCCAATATAGAAGACACCAGCCCCAAACCATAAAAATCTGTCAACTAGGGTTTTTTCTTCTTTTTCTTTTTAACTAAGAAAATAGTAGCATTGTGTCCTGGAATACTAGCTATGGTTTTTTGTTGTTTTTAAAGGTGTGGTTTGACACTCCCACCTGGAAAGAGTTGGAGCCAAACAAGGACAAAGCAGGGAGTGTCCTCAGATAAGATTATACAGTTAAGGCACACTTATTTTTTTTAAATTTTATTTATTTTTTAATCCTCTCCCGAGAATATTTTCCCATTGATTTTTAGAGAGAGTGAGGAGAGAGGGGAAGACAGAAACTTCAATGTGAGGGGAACACTTTGATTGGTTGCCTCCAGCAGAAGCCCTAACCAGCCTGGGCTGGGGAGGAGCCTCTAACTGAGGTAGGTGCCCTTGACCAGAATCGAACCCGGGTCTATCCTCTGAGCCAAGCCAGCTAGGGAAAGGCACACTCAATGTCACCCAGAATGAAGTTAACTCAGCCTTTTGTACCCTCGTCCAGTGCAATCCCAAGTCTACCATGTTCACTCAAAGAAAACTTGCACTTAAAAAGTAGTTTTCAGAGGTAGTTTTTAAAGTTGAAGAAACACTTCGGTGTTACAGGCCCCAGATACATCTGCTTTTAAAGACAGGCCTTGTGCCTGCTTCTGCAGCACATACACCAAAATTGGAACGATACAGAGAAGGCCCTAACAGTTTGAAATAATGAAGTCAAATCTTAGTTGTAATTCTGTTTACCTTCACTACTGCCTCTAAGTGACCATGTGACATAGGGAAAATAATTTATCCTCTTCAGAGTCCTCCCCTGTAAAGTGGATAGTAGGATTGTTTATATTTTGAAAATTAAATGAGTTAATATATGTAAAGTGACTATAACACCACATGGCACCTAGCTATTTGCTCTTAGCCTGTCCAACTGGCTTCCAGTAGAGGAGCGGACTTGCCTTGCCCATAGTTATTTAAAGTTCACCTTATAAAATAAAAGTTTGGTGAGGTGCAAATTAATACTGACATACAGTAAATGCCAAAGGTATATAGGGTAAATGTATAAAAATTGTACTTATATAACAAAGTTAAAATCATTTTAAGAGCATTACAATGAATATTACACTTTGGAAAAAATTTAGCAAAGATACAAGACATTTACAATGTGCAACTACAAGATATTGCTGAGAGAAAGTCTAAACTAGAGGTCCTCGGGGAACTGCTCACTAGGGGCACTCGGCAATGTGTGGAGACATCTTTGTCACAGCTTAGGAGAGGGTTAGGCCAGGAATGTGGCTAAACATCGTAAAATGCATAGGACAGCCCCCACAACAAAGAATTACCTGGCCCCAGATGTCAATAGCACCAAGGTTGGAAATCCTGATCTTAAGTGGAGAGGCATCACGGACTGGAAGACAGTATTGTCAAGATGACAATTCGCAAAGTGATATATAGATTCAATATAATCCCTATTCCAGCAGCAGTTTTTGTAGAAATTGATAAGCTGGTCACACGATGTATGTGGAAATGCAAAGGGTTTCAAGTAGCAAAATAATTTTTTAAAAAATAAAGTGGGAGGCCCTAGCCAGTTTGGTTCAGTGGATAGAGCGTTGGCCTGCAGACTGAAGGGTCCCAGGTTCCATTCCGGCCAAGGGCACATAGCTGGGTTGTGGGCTCAATCCCCAGTAGGGGGCGTGCAGGAGGCAGCCAATCAATGATTCTCATCATTGATGTTTCTATCTCTCCCTCTTCCTTCCTCTCTGAAATCAATAAAGAAATACATTTTTTTTTAAAAAAGTGGGAGGACTTACACTACTGGATTTCAAAAATTACTATAGATGACAATAATCAAATAGCTTAGTAGTATTATAAGGACAGATAATAGAACAGAAATGAGTCCAGAAACCCTAACATTTGTTACTTGATTTTTGATAAAAATCTTAAAGGCATTTTAGTGGAGGAAGGAAAGTGTTTTCAACAAAGGGTCCCAGGTTAATTGTATGTCTGCATGCACACACACAAATGAACTCAGACCTTTCCCTCATACCATACACACAAAAAATGAACTCAAACCAGACCACAGACCTAAATGTAAAAGCTAAAACTTTAAGACTTCTAGAAGAAAATTTAGGAGAAATTCTTGATTTTGAATTAGGTAAATATTTTTTTCTGCTTCTTAAATATCATCTTTTAAAAGTTATGTGTCAACTGAGGATCAAACCCACAACATTGGCATGTCAGGATGCCGCTCTAACCAACTGAGCTACCCAGAGTGAATATCTGTTTTTAAGTTTTTATTTTTTAAAATTCCAGTTGACATACAATACTATTTTCAGGTATACAACGTGATTAGACATTTACATAACTTACACCCTGATAAATCTAGTAGCCACCTGACATCATGCAGTTACTACAATATTATTGACTATATTCCCTATGCTTTACATGCCCATGGCTATTTTGTAATTACCCATATGTACTTCACCTTTTTCACCCATCTTCCCCCCTCCCCTTAGATACAACAACAAATAGTATGACCCATAAAAGGAAAAAAATGATAATGGACCTTATCAAAATAAACTTGCATCTCAAAAGACACCATTAAAAAGGTGAAAAGAGGCCCTGGCCCAGTAGCTCAGTTGGTTAGAGCATCATCCGGATATGCCACGGTTACTGATTTGATGCCTAGTCAGAGCACTTACAAGAAGCAACCAATGGCCCTGGCCAGTGTGGTTCAGGTGGGCATCGTCCGAGCAACAAAAAGGTTGTCGGTTCGATTCCTGGCCAGGGCACATATCTGGGTTTCAGGCTTGATCCCTGCTAGGGGACCTGCAAAAGGCAACTGATTAATGTTATGCTCTCACATTGATGTTTTTTTCTCTCAAAGATCAATAAAAATTATTTTTAAAAAGGAACCAATGAATGCAAAAATAAGTGGAACAATAAATCGATGTTTCTCTTTCGCTCTCTCAAACCAATCATTTAAAAAATAACAGTGCAGGGAAAAATCTGTGGGTCTAACCCAAAAAAGTGGCCCTGGCTGGCGTGGAGTGTCATCCCGTACAAAAAAAGGTTTCGGGTTCAATTCCTGGTCAGGGCACATATCTAGGTTTCGGGTTTTTATCTCCAGTCAGGGTGCGTTTGGGAGGCAGCCGATGACACCTCTCTCCTCCCCCTCCCCTCTAAAAATAACATGCCCTTGGGTGAGGATTATACAAAATAAAAAAAGGGAAAAGACAAG